AACCTGGCCGTGCCCTCGTACTCGAGATTGGAATCGGGTTTTGGGGAGTTGTCTACTGTAATTGTAGTAAGGGACCCCCAAGAGGGCATTGGTAACTTATTGAGGGCCCCGTAGTATGAGCGTCCGATAAGTGCCCAGAAAGCCCACCTTAATCGAAGCCTACAGCCTGCAGGCAGGCCGCAAACCCGGCAAATCCGGCAAAGCTGTGTGAGGTTTTTGTCGTTACGGCCCTGTAAGGACCCTGGAAACCCAAAGCCTTAACCCAAACCCTATCTTCCGTAGCCTTAAGTCAGAATCAGGAGTCATAGTTAGCACCCATAAAACCCCAGACAACCTCAAACAGTCTGGGCAGGCTTGGTGAGTTTCTGACCCTCCTGTCAAACCGATAAAGCTCACTCAAAAGCCGATAAAAATACTTACAGCCCCCCATAACTCGCTTATTCATTATATAAAACACCGTTTAAGCCTTATGACACCCCCTCATAAAACCCTCAAATAAAGGTCCTAGGAAAGGTCCTGGAAAGGCCCCTACAAGCGACCCCCCCCTAAACCCTAAACCCTAAGCCCTAAGCCCTAAACCCTAAACCCTAAACCCTAAACCCTAAGATGAAGCGGATCTCTCTCCAGTTCTGCTCCGACTCGGCGGACGGGAGTTGTCGCTTCCTCGGGCCACTCGGGTGTCTTTTCAGGGGCTCAGGGTTCCTTAGGGTTTAGGGTAGGGTTTAGAGTTTAGAGTTTAGGGTTTAGGGTTTAGGGTTTAGGGTTTAGGGTTTAGGGTTTAGGGGCTTTAATGTCCTTCAAGGGTTCCAGTAAGGGTTCCTAAAGGGATTCTGTGGGGTTTGGGGGTTTGGGTTGGGAAAGGATTCTATGGGCTTTGGGTTTAGGTTTTGGGGTTGCGGGTTGAAGGCTTTGGGGGTTTTAGGGTTTCGGGTTTAAGGGTTTGGGGTTTGGGGGGTTTGGGTTTAAGGGTTTGGGGGTTTCGGGTTGAGCGGCTTCGGGTTCAGAGTTTAGGGGTAGGGTTTAAGGGTTTGGGTTTAAGGGTACCGGGGGGTTCAGACAGAAGGGGTTAAGGTTTAGGATGGTCTTGGGGCTTTAATTAGGGTCTCGAACCAAATGGGTCAGCCAGTATAGTTAGAATTACATTTAATCATTAGATTTAATCGTAAATTGTTCAGGAGCCCGAAGGAATGCCTTTGGCCAGGCCTCTGCATTCGGGTTTAGGGTGTCGGGTCTGGTGTTTGTGGGGCTTAAGAGGTTTAGGCTTTGACGTTTAGGGCCAAAAGTTTAGGGCATTCCCTGCGGATCCAGTCTCCAAGTGGTTTAAGGGAGCTATTTTGTAGGGTTTGGGGCTCCGGGTAGGGTTGAAGTTTTCAGGATTTTACGGTGTAGGGCTGGGGAAGCTTCATGATCGTTAGAACATGTTACAGTGTAAACCCGAAGGCCTTTAGCAACTAGTACTCTTCTCAAGGGTCTTTTGCAAATATAGAATCATTGCCTTTCCAAGGTGTTTGGCTATGATTTTACCTATCAGGAAGCCTTATAGGAACCCTCAAAGAGCCTTATTATTCCGAATTCTTCATTTACCTCGCAGTATCGTCGCTAACCTTTAACCTCTTCGGGGTATTTTCGACCCTCTAGAACCCCAAAGGTTAACCTTTAGTTCCCCTAGCGTACTGGACAGCTAAATTACCAAAGGGTCCCAGGTACTGTTATATGGAATACTTCCCCAAGTCATAATACCCTCGAGAATTTTCAGGTGGGTAGTTACCGTTGTAGGAGCCTTATATAAGGTTTGTATACCTTACCGAAGCCTTATAGAAGCCCTATATACCCTAAACTCCCCACCTCTAGTTTCCTAAACCCTAAGCCCTAAACCCTAAACCCTAAAGCCCTAAAGCCCTAAAGCCCTAAGCCCTAAACCCTAAGCCCTATACCCCTAAACCCTAAAACCCTAAACCCTTAAACCCTAAACCCTAAACCACCTGTAGCTTCCTTCAACTTAGGACCTTTTGGGTTCAGGGATGTTGGAAGATCTAGGTAGTATTATTAGGGGTACCCCTTTAAGGGTACCCCTTCTGAGCCCTACTTTTGGC